CAAAGCGACCCAGGGGAAAACCAGGAGCAATGCTCATAAACTCCTAGAAGGTTTCAGACTGGATACAAGGAAAAACTTCTTCACAGTTTGTGACCAGACTGTCGAATAGACTTCCAGAGGGGATGATACAAGTACCTAACCTGGAGATCTTCAAAAGGAGACTGGACGCACACCTTGCTAGGGTTATTTGACCCCAGCAGTCTTTCCTGCCAGAACAGGGGAGCTGGACCCAATGATCTCATGAGGTCCCTGCCAGCCCTATGTATCTGTGGATGGTTTAATGTTTGTACTAAAGGCTTTACCGGTTATAACATGCAACTTTCAGATCATTGTATTTTGTGCTAGTGACAATAACATGCTCCTCCATCCTCAGTAGGCAGAGTCTTACTAGGGTTCTTCCCAGCAAAGGGAAAGCCTTTTTTCCTCTGGCCTGTTTCCCTCACACAAAGCTGGAGCCAGATTCACGTCTCTTTCAGACACTGGCAGCAAAACCATTCACTCTTCCTGGCCCCTGGCAGATGCTACACTGAGGTGCAAGTGTTGTATGCAGTAACACGCCATGCACCCCTGTGATTAACTACACCATAAAACAAGGAATAAGCCACAAAGTCGTGGTACAGAAGCCACGTAAGAGCTTCACAGCTCCCAGCACGCTGCAAACCCGACATGTGGCCGGCACAGATCCGCTGGCCGACTGCACCCCGGCGATAGCAGGGAGCACTGGGCACCTGGCGGCGGGGAGCCCGGGGCCCTCCCTGCACCGGCAACAGGGCGAGACTGGGACGCGACCCCCGAGTGCCCGCTGGCGCCTGCGGCCTGGATGTGCGGGGCGAGGGCGCGGCCCAGGCCTGCTCGGCGGGGTCCTTCTGACTCCCCTCCAAGGGCCCCGAGCAGCGGGCCCACACCGGCAGCGGCGGCCTCGGGCGGGGCCTTACCTGAGTGCGGGATGCCGACGCTGGCGCGGCCGGGCGGCAGGCTGGCGGCGCGGGACAACGAGTCCTCGTATTCGTCCAGGATGGACGCCATGGCTCGTCCCCACCCCCGCCGAGCCACCAGCCACTTCAGCGACCCCTCAGCTGACCCGAGTCACGTTCCGTCGGCGACGTAATGCGCCTGCGTCAGCCCCGCCCCCTCACGTACTGCCTACGGCATGCGGGGGTGGGCGGGGACTGGAGGGCTGCCTCGCCCCGCCCCCGCGGCCGGTGTGGCCCCGCCTCCTTGAGCTGAGGGGTTCGTTGCGTCACGCGGGGGGGAGGGTGTCCTTGCTGCTCCCCCGGCCTGTGGCGGGGTCCTGAGACGGGGCAGGTCCTGCTGCTGGGCGAGGCGGTCGCTGCCTGGCCCACGTCTTCTCCCCGCAGCTGCTGGGTACCGAGCTAGCAGGGCCCCTTGCTGGCGGTGGCCCCACACTAGGTTGCCAACCCCCCCCCGGATTGGCCCGGGGTCTACCAGAATCAGCCTTAATCACCCAGTGACCACTGACAGCAATCTGGGAGATTTTAATGGGATATTTTAAGAAAATAAAATTAATGACATTATGTCATGTTGGGGGTGGGAATCTCAGAATAGCTTCAGTCAGAGTTGGCAGCCCTACCCCACGCCAGCCAATGGTCCTGGTGGTGCTGGGGTCACAGCCATCCCATGTGGGCTATTCTGCAGTTGCTCGGGGATGTAGGGGGGTAGTTAGGAAGGCCAAGGCAGAGATGGAACTGGGGCTAGCTTCCCAGATTAAGGACAATAAGTCTTTTTTTAAATACATAGGGGGTAAAAAGAAGGTCCCAGGTAATGTGGGGCCCTTGCAGGATG